CATGAGTAAGGCTGGGTTTACTCAGATGTTGCAGCTCTTTCCCAGTCCTATTTTGCGAGCCTTTTAGCCTAAATGGACTATTCCTAAAGGTGCGCGGTAATGTACCAAACAGTGTTTCTTTGCTATTCATAAGGTTTTCACTGGCCAGTTCTTTCAGAAGTGGATAGCCTCTTCCTTCATATATATATATATAAAGTAGATATATATACCTAAATATATATATATATTTTTAGTAGCAGTTCCTGTATGCTGCCAGTATCGACTTGATTCTAGAATTTAAGACCTAAAGATGTTTATGACTGTAGTTCAGCTCACAGAGAAGGCCCAGACACTGACTGACCTCTGTTGCAGAATGAAGAGGAGATCCTAGTGGAGTGTCGTGTGCGATTCCTGTCCTTCATGGGTGTCGGGAAGGATGTCCACACGTTTGCCTTCATCATGGACACTGGGAACCAGCACTTTGAGTGCCACGTGTTCTGGTGCGAGCCTAACGCAGCTAACGTGTCTGAGGCAGTCCAGGCAGCTTGCATGGTGAGTAATCCCAGGATAGCAAAGTATTTGGGTTGCTGCTTTTGTTTTAGATGCCATAAGTTAGAGCAGAATCACCATGTTAAAAGAAAAAAATCAAATTCTAAAGTAATACTTTACTTTTTAACACTTTGTCCTATGGGCAGAATAAATTATGGTAAGCACTTTGTCATCTCAAAAGGCTAGGACACCTGGAAGAGCCAGGCTGGTTGAAGCTAGATTCTGTTGAGACTCCAGCAGCAGTAATGAGTGTCTAGAAAAATTGCTGGGTGCCTAACATTCATTAGACACTGAAATTGTGTTGTTGGTATGTGCCATCAAGTCAGACCTGACTCATAACAACTCCTCCTTGGGTTTCTGAGGCGGTATCACTACGGAAGTAGATTGCCCAGCCTTTCTTCCGAGGAGTGGCTGGTGGGCTTGAACCACCAGCCTTCTGGTTAGCAGTCAAGTACCTTAGGCGCTACATAAATTGGAAAGATACATAATTTTCTTTGGAAAAAAAAGAAAAGAATGCCTTGGTTAGCTAGTGCTGCTGTAACATAAATACTACAAGTAAATGGCTTTAAAGAACAGAAATGAATTTTCTCACAGTTCTGGAGGCTAAAATTCCAAATTAGGATCTTGTTGATTCCTCCCTTGTCAGTAGCCCTGGGAATGCTTTGGCTCCTTGGCTTACAGTCGATTGTTATGTGGCATCTGTCTTCCCCTATTTGTGGGCCAGTCTCTGTTGTGCTGTTTTATAAGCACTTAGAAGTGTTTAGGTTTAAGACACACCTTAACATTGGTATGGCCTCATTAATATCATGAAGAAAACTCTATTTCCAAACAGAATTACATCCAAAGGAATAGGAGTTGGGATTCTAACACATAATTGGGGAGAGGAGACACAATTCAACCCATAACAAAGAGCAAACCCACCAACCCCCTGCCATCAAGTGGATTCTGACTCATAGCAACCCCCACTGGGTTTCCAAAGCTGTAAATCTTTATGCAGGTGCATCACCTCATCTTCCACAGAGCAGCTGGTGGGTTTCAACCACCGACCTTCTGGCTAGCAGCCAGATGTCTTACCCGCTATGCCACCAAAGCTCTTTTAATAAAGAGAATGATCTTCAAAACCATAAATTTCAGGATTGTCAATTCTTGACCTCTAATTTGTTTCATATGTAATCAGGAAATGTTCGTCGTGCATGAGATGGTGCTTTTCATGCAATTCAGTACTTTAAAAAAATGCAATATATTGACGAATTCAGGTAAAAGATTAATGATGTATGCTTTTTACAGAAGCCACAGAATGAGTCAATGAAATAAACTGTAGTTGGAGATTTCATGCCAGTCATTTTTATTTCCTTCTCTCTGGCCTGCTTTACCATACCCTTCTTGTTCAACCTGAACTATTCACCAGTGGTGATTAACAAGGTGGAAAACTAAACTTTTATTTCTCATTGTTTCAGTTAAAAGAACAAGTGTTGCTATTAAGCAATGGAAATAGCTTAGAGGTGAGCTGAAAGAGCAGGAAGCCCAGAGGCCTGAACTACCCACTGAATTAGAAGATTTGAGCTCTATATATGCCTCAGTGCTGGATCCAATTGATGGACTTTTATTCTTTTCTACTCCCTGTCGTTTCCAATTCTTCTCTTTCTGTTTTCTCTTGAACCTATTCAAGACCAGCTTTTGCCTCCATCACTCTACTGACTTTGCTCTGGTCAAGGCCATAAGTCACTGACATGGGGCCATGTGTGTCAATGAAGCCTTCATGGATGATGAGCCTAGGGGCAGGGCTTAGACTGCAGTTACACCTTTCCTGTGAGACCAGCCAGAAGGTGCTAAGAATCCCAGACTAGCGGGAGCTTATGGAAAGGAAGTTGAAGGAATTCTCTGCTTTCTACATATAGTACATAACTAGGTTAAGAGGGAAGTGGCTGAGGTAGAAGGCAGATGGCAAAAGTGAGGAGCAAAGAAGAAAGAACCAATTAACTTTTATCTTCAAAGATGTTTTTTAAATGGAGAGGGAGGGAGAAGAAAAGGAACAACTCCCACAGGCCTGGTATTGTATATTCATTATCTTGTTCCATTCTTTCCACAGTCTTGTGTTTATTATTAGGATAATTTCCTCCATTAGTGGTGCTACCCCAAATATGGCTGAATATAAAGGAGCAGGGCTGGATGGAGGGAGCTAGGGGGGAGCAGAGTCAAGATGAATCCCCTAACAGGCATAAGAAACTGAGAAGGAAAGGATTATGTATAGAAAATGGGAAGTTTCAATCAAGCGGAAATGGGTGATGATTATTTAGGTATTTTATGAAATTGAAATGGATCCTAACAGATGGTTTTAGTTATAAAATGAATGGTTTTCAGCCTTAATTATTCCTTTTAAATGCTGATGACAATTAAATAATTACCTTTATCACTGGTTACAGTGTGTTTTCTGATTCCCAGGCTCATTTTCTCTCTCAAAAACAATTTCTATTCATTTGCTTCCTATTTTAATCGGATTAGTGCAGCCAGTGGCAGCTGCTCAGCCAGTGCTGCATAAGGCTAACTGATAGCATCAGACCCTTTGTTCCACTTTGAACCCAGCATTTGTAACTCAGTGGCTTTCCTTGATTCAGAACTGCTTGGTTCTCTGAAGTACCACTGGCATTAACATTCTGCTGAATCTACTTAATTTGTAGGCATACCTTGCCACTGTGTGGTTCAGCCTAGCTGAAGATATTTTGGTGAAACCTGAATAGGCCGGTGAGCAATCTTTCATGAAACCCCTTAGTCAAGTACGTTTTTGGTTCACAGTGGACATACATAACTAATGTTTGAAATTCCAAGTCCAGTGTCCTGATTGCCATGCTTTCCCCTTTCTAAACCCATGTTAGATGGGTGTGTTCTTGGTTGCGACCAGACCTAGCAAGATGCCTTACAGGGGAGATGTTGTTGTTAGGTGCTGTTGTCTTTGACTCACAGAGACCCTATGCAAAGCAGAACACAACACCGCTTGGTCCTACGCCATCTCCACGATTCCTGCTATACTTGAGCCCATTGCCACAGCCACTGTGTCAATCCATCATCTCGTTGAGGGCCTCCCCTCTTTCATCGACCCTCCACCTTACCAAGCATGACATCCATCTCCAGAGAATGTTCCCTTCTGACAACATATAGGTGAAATGAAGTCTGGCCATTTTTGCTTCCAAGAAGTTTTCCAGCTGCACTTCCCCCAGGACAGATTTGTTAGTTCTTTCACCAGTCCATGGTACTTTCAGCATTCTTCACCAGTACCACAACTCAAAAGCATTAATTCTTCTTTGGCCTTCCTTATTCATTGTCCAGCTCTCACATGCATATGAGGCAACTGAAAATATCATGGCTTGTGTCAGGTGCACCCTAGTCCTTGGGAACACATCTTTGCTCCTAAGCACTTGAAAGAGGTCTTTTGCAGCCTACTTGCCCAGTGCTATACGTCATCTGATGTCCTGACTATTGCTTCCATTGGTGTCGACTATAGAACCAAGCAATGTAAAGTCTTTGACAACTTCAATCTTTTCATCATTTATCATGATGCTGCTTATAGGTCCAGTTGTGAGGATTTTCATTTTCTTTATATTGAGGTGTAATCTATACTGCAGACTGTATTCTTCAATCCTTATCAGTAAGTGCTTCAAGTCATCCTCACTTTTACCAAGCAAAGTTGTGTCGTCAGCATATCGCAAGTTGTTAATGATTCTTCCTCCATTCCTGATGCCACGTTCTTCAGCTTCTCAGATTATTTGCTCAGCATATAAATTGAATAAGTATGGGGAAAGGATACAACCCTGACGCACTCCATTCTTGATTTTAAACCATGCAGTGTTCCCTTTTTCTGTTTGACCAACAGCCTCCTGGTCTGCGTACAGGTTCCTCAGGAGTACAATTAAGTGTTCTGGAATTCCTGTTCTTCTCAACTTTATGCACAATTTGTTATGATCCACACAATTGAATGTTTTTGCATAGTCAATAAAACACAAGTAAGCATCTTTCTGGTATTCTCTGCTTTGAGCCAAGATCCATCTGACATGAGCAATGATATCCCTTCTTCCACATCCTCTTCTGAATCTGCCTTGCACCTCTGGAAGTTCTTTGTCAATGTAGTGCTGCAACCATTTTTAAATTATCTTCAGTAAGATTTTACTTGTGTGCATTATTAATGATATTGCTCAATAATTTCCATATTCTGTGGGATCACCTTTCTTTGGAATAGGGACAAATATGGATCTCTTCCAGTCAGTTGGCCAGGTAGCTGTCTTCCAAATCTCTTGGCATAACCAAGTGAGTGCCTCCAGTGGGGCATCTGTTTGTTGAAACATCTCAATGGGCATTCCGTCAATTCCTGGAGCCTTGTTCTTCACCACTTCCTTCAGTGCAGCTTCGACTTCTTCCTTCAATATCATTGGTTCTTGATCATATGCCACCTCCTGAAATGGATGAATATTGACCAGTTCTTTTTGGTACAGTGACTCCGTGTATTTGTTCTTCCTGCATCATTCATTATTTTGCCCATAGAATCTTTCAATATTGCAACCTGAGGCTTAAATCTTTTCCTCAGTTCTTTCAGCTTGAGAATGCCGAGTGTATTCTTCCCTTTTGGTTTTCTAACTCCATGTCTTTGCACATTTCATTATAGTAATTGGCTTTGTCTGCTCTAGCGGCTCTTTGAAATATTTGATTCAGCTCTTTTATCTTGTCATTTCTTCCATTTTCTTTGGCTACTCTTCACTCAAGGGCAAGCTTCAGAATCACTTCTGACATCCATTTTGGTCTTTCTTTTCTCATATTTTTAATGACCTCTTTCTTCTTGGATGATGTTCTTGATGTCATCCCACAATTCTGGTTTTCAGTCATTGGTGTTCAGTGCATCAAATCTCTTCTTCAGATGGTTTCTAAATTCAGGAGGGATAAATTCAAGATCATATTTTAGATCTCGTGGACAAGTTTTAATTGCCTTCAACTTCAGGTTGAACTTGCATATGAGTAGTTGATGGTCTGTTCCACAATCACCTCCTGCTGTGCTTTTGGCTGAAGATAGTGAGCTTTTCCATCTCCTCTTGCCACAGATGTAGTCAATCTGATTCCTGTGTATTCCATCTAGTGAAGTCCACATGTATATCTGCCATCCATGTTGTTGAAAAAAGTATTTGCAATGAATAAGTTGTTGTTCTTTCAAAATTCTATCATGTGATCTCCAGCATTATTTCTGTCACCAAGGCCAAATTTTCCAACTACCAGTGATTCTTCATTTCCAACTTTTGCATTCCAGTCACCAGTGATAATCAACGTATCTTGATTGCATGTTTGGTCGATTTCAGACTGCAGAAAGTGATAAAAAATCTTCTATTTCCTCATTTTGCTTTGGTGGTTGGTGCATAAATTTGAATAATAGTCAATATTAACTGGTCTTCTTGTAGACATATGGATATTATCACTGACAGCATTGTACTTCAAGACAGATCTTGAAACATCCTTTGTGATGATGAGTGGCACACCATTCCTCTTCAAATTGTCATTCCCGGCATAGTAGATCATATGGCTGGCTGATTTATAATGTCCAAAACCAGTCCACTTCAGCTCACTAATGCTTAGGATATTAATCTGTGTGCATTCCATTTCATTTTTGACAACTTCCAATTTTCTTAGATTCATACTTCATACATTCCATGTTCTGATTATTAATGGATATTTGCAGCTGTTTCTCCTCAATTTCAGTCATGTCATATCAGCAAATGGAGGTCTTGAAAGCTTTAATTTATCCATATCAGTAAGGTTGATTCTACTCTGACGATGTCACTCTTTCCCAGTCATATTTTGAAAGCCTTCTGACCTAAATGGCTCATCTTCCTACACTGTATAAGATAGTTTCTGGGCTATTTGTATAGTTGCCTAGTATTATAACAGACAGTGTTTCTCTGCTATTCATAAGGATTTCCCTGGCCAATTCTTTGAGAAGGGATGGCCTCTTCTTCCTAGTCTCAGTCTGTAAGCCACACCAAAAACTGTTTACTACATGCAACCCTGCTGTCATCTGAAACACCAATGGCACACCCTCAGACCTCACAGCAACATGCCACCAGACCACGACACCGAAAGACAAGTTAGTCTCACTTAGCTTTTCAAAACTTCTCCACCTTCCCTTTACCAGGATCTCTGCCACTTGCTCTCTCTGTCTGAGACGCCCTGACTTTCCCTTCTTTTCCCCTTTGCTTTTCCTGCCGCTTAGGGGTTGAGGCCTGGGTCCCTCCCCTTACCTGGATTGCTTGGTTACTTGCTCGCTCTCCTGGATGCCCTGGCTTTGCTTTCCTTTCCCTTCTGCTTTTCCTGCCTGTTGGGGGTTGGGGCCTGGGTCCCTCTCTTTACCTGGATCCATCTGCTGCTTTCTTGATCTCTCCTGGACACCCCTGGCTTTCCTTTCCTTTCCCCAGGGGAGATGTAGGGCATCATTTTTCCATATGACTGACTTGAAAGGGGCTTATGCTGTGGCCTGTGGGGTGTGTTAGAATAGCATGACACCACTGACCATCCTTCCCCACCACTGAGTGTTTCATAGCTGCACTAAGGGACCTGTTAATTTTTAAGTTGATTTTTAAAATCAGCCATGAAGTTATCATAAAGTGCTTGGATTAGATAGAAATTTGACAAATTTTAACCTTGTTCTTCAGCAATTCCTTCAGTGCAGCTTCAACTTTTTCCTTCAGTATCACTGGTTCTTGATCATATGCCACCTCCTGAATGGATAAACGTCGACCAGTTCTTTTCAGTACAGTGACTCCATGTATTCGTTCCATCTTCTTTTGATGCTTCCTGCATCATTCAATATTTTGCCCATAGAATCTTTCAATATTGCAAGTCAAGTCTTAAATCTTTTCCTCAGTTCTTTCAGCTTGAGAAATGCCGGGCATGTTCTTCCCTTGTTGTTCTAACTCCAGGTCTTTGCACATTTCATTGTAACATAGTGACCCCTCCTTGGGTTTCTGAGGCAGTATTACTATGGAAGTAGATTGCCCAACCTTTCTTCCGAGGAGTGGTTAATGGGTTTGAACCTCCAGCCTTCTGGTTAGCAGTCAGATGCCTTAGGCACTAAGCCACCAGAGCTCCTGAAAGAAACATATTTGTGATTAATTAGAATCATTAAACAAGAAGAGATGTTATGTTAATAAATACCTCAGACCATCTTTTGTTTTATTTCAGTTACGATACCAGAAGTGCTTGGTAGCCAGGCCACCTTCACAGAAAGTTCGACCACCTCCTCCGCCAGCAGACTCAATGACCAGGAGAGTCACAACCAATGTGAAACGAGGGGTCTTATCCCTCATTGACACTTTGAAACAGAAACGCCCTGTCACAGAAATGCCATAGCTGCATATGTTAAAGGATTCTGTAACATTTACCTGAAGATTGAATAGCTACACTAAAGAAAACAAACTGATGTCTGGCCTTCCATTCAGTTGCTGATGCTTTGTCTTCAGAAAATTTATCCTTAACAAACAGTGTTAGACAAGCATGTTCTCTCGTCTTGCCACCATCATGTGATATGAAAAGAAGCATGAATAATTTTTTTTGCTGTCAGTAAGTTACATCATGAGCAGTGGAAGGTCTTTTCTTATTGTAAATATTGTGAACATTACTTAACTTCACACACACACACACACACACACACACACAGAAGGTGGCCACAGCCCTCCTAGTGAACTAATTCTGAGTCCTTGGAGTAAATGAGTTAGTTTCCCTATCTTCTTGAGCTGGACCTGGCACAAGCAACCTTCATGTCCTCCAAGCATTTTGCCATTTCCAACATTGGAGCAGACACTGCAGACCAGCTACCAGTGAAATGCTTTAAAATTAGGACGATGAGGGTTTGTATGTTTTTCATAAAAATGAACCTGTGGGTTGACAAAATTGGCTGTTGGCATCCATGTAGAAAGCAACTGGCAGCTTTCCTTGACAAGCTGTTTGATACATGGACATTTCATGTCTACAGCTATTTGTGGGCTGCTGGAAAAAAAAAAAAAAAAAGTATAACTTCAAAATTGAGGGAAAAATTGCTAAATTTGAAGAATTAAAAATCAAAGAAAATGTTTTCAGATGGGTTTCAAACTGGTTATTTAAATAAATAAAAGGAAAAAGAACAAAAGCATAATGCATTTCAGGTGGGATATATTTCAACTTCTGCCTTATATTGTACAATGCAGCTAGAAGAGTTACAGCGCACTGTGGCCATTCTCCACACCAACAACATTGAAATGAAATACTCCTCATAAGCCTTTCATCCTTAGTTTGATAATTAGCCAATATACAGTTCAGAGTTGAGGAAACGGCATTGCTACTTCTGTCATACACACAATTCTTTTAGATAGCGCCCACCTCACTGTGTTTGTTAGGCCACCCCCGGTCTGGTAGGATTCTGCACTAGCTCAGTCTTAATATACAGTGTGTTTTGCCCAGAAAGCTGTCTGTCCATGTGCAGTCCATGGCAACACCTTTCATTAAGTTGAAATAAATTCAACTTCCTTGAATTTATGTATTTCATATTAGAATTTGTTGGACTCTGCTAGATGTATTTTTAAATTTGTATCCTTTCCGTTTTCTTTTCAAGATTTTTAAATTTCGTATCAGAGCAAAATATACATTGAACAATGGACTATTTAACAAGCTTCCCCAAAATAGCACCTTCCTCTTTCCTTCTTTGTAGGTATGAAACTTAGTTGTAAAGATACATAAATTCAGACTCTTGTCAACCTTGTTGTTTTAAAAGAAAGTTGCTAAAGAGCTCAATTTAAATATTAGTTGTCTTTTTAATGTCAAAATTAATGTTTTTGAAACATCCAGTTATGAAAGTAATGCTTTACATTTATGTACTGCTATGTACTTGTCCTTTCATGGAGCAGCTGGTGGGGCTGAACCGCCAGCCTTCTGGTTAGCAGTCAGATGCCTTAGGCAGTGCCACCAGAGCTCCTTGATGTACTTGTCAAAATGATTTCCACATTCTTATCACATTTGAGCCTTAAAAGGTAGAGAAGGGGCTAAAAGCATTTGAGAAATAAAAATATGAAGCACCATGAGGCTAAACCAACTGGCCCAAGAGCTCACTAAAGTTAGTGAGAACCAGGTCTAGGACCCAGGTTTCCTGGCTCCCAGGTCTCAGTATAACAGGCTGTTTCCATGTCAGTCTGGAAGAGCCTTTGCAAAATGATTCTGGGCAGATACAGAGAAGAGTAGGTATGGAGACAGTCCTTGTCGGGCTACCTTGAATCCCTGTATCAGTGGGGAAATAAAAGTCCAAATTACTCACGCAGTGGTATTAAAATCATTGCCCCCTCAGTGCGGGATGTATTTCCTACAGTGTGCCTCAGCGTTTTTTAGAGGTCAGGGTTCTACATTCATATGGCCTGTTTAGGCTGTGAGGTTGTCCACAGGTGCTGTTAACTGGTGCAAGATTCCTAATACACCATGCTTGGTCACCAGAGGACATGATGGAATGAAAAGGGGTGTTCCTGCCTACTGTCCCACCTCAATTTTTTTTTTTTTTTTTTTTTTTGAGGGGTGGGGATAGTTAACTAGTTGTCCTTGAGTTAGTGACAACTCCTGGCGACCCTGGGTGTCAGAGTTGAGTTGTGCTCTGTAGAGTTTTCAGCGGCTCATCTTTAGCAGATCGGTAGGGCTTTCTCCCGAGGCACCTGAGTGAACCCGGACCCCCACCCTTGTGGTAAGCACCTCAGCTCCTTGACCAACCCTTAGGCTGGCAGCTAAGCTCCTTAACCATCTGCACCACCCAGTAGTGTTTGCTCAAGTGGTAGGTCGAAAACGATGCCACTTTAGAAATGCATTATACTTCTCAGTAATTAGACACTGTTCTATCCAAAATAACCAATGCCATCATAGAAAATTTTTGCATTAAGAAAATCCTGACTCTGCCCTATGAAAAGCTGTTCAGAATTCAGTCACGATGATCTTTCATCTTGATTTCCACATGAAAAATAATAACCTTCAGAATCCTGAATTAACCCTCTTTTATATTGGAGATCTCTACCCCCTGTCCATTTTTTAAGGCATACATTTGTTTGTTTTCAGGATCAAGAATACCTGAGCTAGCTTTAAGTAGCAAACTGATTTATATATGCAATTATAGGATGCATTAAGATGAATGATAGCCTTTACAGAGTGAAAACTTTACTGCAGATACTTTGTTTTGAAAATAGCTTTGCATACTAAATGCAAATTTATTTTGTAAAATTAGTTATGTTAAACAGTATGTTCAGACACTTTCTGCCATGGCCAAAAAGTATGTATGAAGTATGTGTGTATTTGTTTGTGAAAGGATGCCAATGTTTTACCCAATAGTGTAGTTTGGTTATCTATGCATTCTTTATATCTGTGATTTGGTAAACAGGCAGCCATGTTCACTATGCCTTGTATGTCTTGTCATTTTTTTAATTAACCTGTTAAATACAGCTTAAAATATTTTTATTTTATTTATTCTATTTTTACTGAAATATACTGCATTATTGTGTTAATGTGTTATCTTTACTGGATATTATCTCGCAATGTAGCCAGGTCTTGGTGACCTCAGTGAACTACACGTTGCCTAGAAGGTGGTTTTGTAATGATTTGTAATCACATTTTTATTGGACTACGTAGAAGAAAAAGCATAATGTTTGAAGTTCCTTTTTTAAAAGCAGCTAGATAGATGAAGACTTGCCACCTCACGTATGTGCCTCATGACAACATCAAGGGGACCAGTCAACATGTGTATGGCTAAAAACTTTACTTTGCAGACTAAAGCACTGCTTGGTGCTTCATTTTTATATCCTTCACAACACGTGCAACTCATCTAAAAGAGAAACACATGTCCACAGGCACTTGGTTTCCAAGGCATATATAAGATCACCCAGGGCTAATTAGGAACACTGTTTTATTGTTGTCTGTTTGTCTTAATGCATGAAAGGACATTAGATCCATTTCCATTAAAACAGGTTCTTGGTGATAAACTGTTGGCACTGCTACTTTATTTTAAATTCACTTTATGATTTTAATGTGGCCAGTTATAATACTCTTCTGCACAAGGCCATTTACTAGAAACCCTAAATCTATCTTTCCTCCTTTTCCTGTATGGCATTTGTTCCAAAAGCATTGCAACACAGATTCAAAGTTTCATAAGTAACATGAGAGAACATTTCCCACCTGATAGATACTAGCACAATTTAATAAAATCATTAGCTGTTTGCTGGGCTTTGCCTAATAATGGCTAACATGTTACACAGCCGGCAAAATAAAGTTTAACTTATTTCTGCTTAGAGAAAAATACTTGCTCACACTGTACCACTTAGAGCACTCAGCTACCCAAAGCAGCTGTTTATCCTAGGGAAAAAAAAAAAAAAACTCTGCTTTCCTTTTTGCCCCTTTTGCTGTTGACCACTTTTACACCTTTAAATGCAATCTGCTGTGAGAATACACTTAGCTACATAAAACATTTAGCTCATTTAAGTGACATCCTAGTCATGCATGCAAGGAATAGAATACCAGTAAATTTTGTGTCTCCATCATTCTCTTTTTAAATTATACCTACCTCAAATTAAACTTCAGAAATCATGTTAGTAATGTAAAAGTCTGCCTTTGAGTAGTTGTTGCTTATTTCTACCTGGTAAGAACTACAACGTAACAATTTAGATTTTGAGTAATACATAACACTGTCCTTATTTGGTGTTAAGGAAGGGGTGCTAGCAAGCCGGACACAGAAATCTATTCAGTCACTACTTGAGTCATCTATAAGCAGTCTGTCTAGGGCTGAGGAATATATGTATGTCTTTCATTTCCTTTAAGAACCTAACAAACATCAAAGATTGACAAATAGAGCTGTACAGGCACGAAATCCAAAATGAGATGTAACTAGAAAAATGAGTTGCATCTGTAACTGGGAGACGTGGGAAATCAATTCAGTTTTAAAGTATGGAGCCATTTTTTGTTCATCTTGCATTTCCTCTCATTGTTTACAAACCACTTCTACCCATCAAGGCAATCACTCTAAAGGAAATAATACGGGAACAAGATTTCATTTTGGTTTCAAATATATATAATGGCAAATAATTTCAGATTAAATTCCAAATTTGCTTTTGGAATATCTACGTATCAGTAATTCCATTATTTTAAATCTTTGCAGTTTTCTCTAATGACTTAAGGAAAAGTAAAATATTAAAAAACCTCAATGTAATATTCTTCACTATTATTCTCATATTGCTTTTATCCATGGGTTTTCCTCCCCTTTTTACTGTATCAAAGTATTTAAATAATTGATCATGTCCTTATTAGAAGATTCTCAAAGAAACTACTAAGGAATGGTTTAATTTGGAGTCTTCCATAAATGTCTAAAGAGAAAGATAATTTAGTGTCAAGACACATGTCATAAGATACTGAAAACAAATGGCTATAAATTGTCACATGGCAGCAATCATATGCTGTATGGAGATTAGAAAAATATCCTGAACAAGTTTATAGCAATGGGTTTTGTTTTGTTTTGGGTTTTTAATAACTTCTCACAGAAAATATGCTTGTAAATAAAAATCTCAGACCTACTACTTTTAAGCAATGGAATACTTTAGCTTGGGACAGGGGTGGAGCGGCAAGAAAGGGATCAGGTATTCATAGGATATAAAATATCTTTCCTGAACGATGTTAAGTTGCATGAGTCTCCCAGAGGCATGGGGCATTCTAGCCAGATAGAGATTTGGGTGGGAGTAAGAGGATGAAACCCATACTATAATTTTTAGAGCAAAAATATAACATGGTTTTCAGTTTTTGAAATTAGTAAAATAAGATGAACATTTAAAACATTTATGCACTTTTTTAAAAAGTCAGTGTATGAGAACAACTCTTGTGATTGAAAATAAGCCTTGTACAAGTATAAAAAGTCTTGTTTCCTAGCTTCATTGACACATTTGATGTATAAATGTAAATCTTCCCCTAAAAATAATTTATTACTATTAAAATGAAATTCACCATTCTTTTATTATCCTCACTTCCAGATGAAAAAATAATAGGATGTTATAGCTGAAATAGACCTAAATACTTATTCTGAAGAAGAAAATATCCTACTAAAATCATGCCACCTGAATTGAACATTCAGGAATTGACATAACACTGTTCAGTGCAACTGACTTCTGAAAATCTGAAATTTATCAACATGTCTATGAACTTTTTTTAAACAGTAAGATTTATACTTAGTCAATTTAATGTCAAACAATTTCTGTTGGCATGATGAAAAGTTAGTAGACCCAGAAATGATAATCATACTAATTCTTGGTAGGCAATTGATACTATGTTGAAGATGAACTGCCATTTAATAGAATTAACATAGTGCTACAATATATTTTAATAGACTGTGCATCAGAAATGATTTGCCAAAGTGATTACTGTTTGCAATTTGAAATGACTTGTTGATTTTACTGTATCACCTGATCTTCACATAAAATCAGAATTTTTATAGTTTTCTTCAACAATATGTGTCACTTGTATTCAACAGTTTTGCCTCTTCCTCCGAATTATTTCATGGAAATTTGCTTTTGGTCATTTTTCATAACAGTATTTGGCACAGATGGTCAGAAGGGGGAGCTGATTATGTTCATCTCTACTCAGGATCCTCGAAGCTCTTCCGTGAGAGACAGTCTTCACTCTGTTAATGGACATCTGAGCTACACCCAGCTGGCACTTTGGAACTTCCTGTTCTTCCTACTTGTGCTCAACCTGTCACATTGCAAAACCTCATGTTGTGTTCTGTGTGAAGTATTTGTTGCAATTTTTTAAAATCCAACCTTGATAGTGATCAGAAATGTCCAACTACAGCTGGCTGGGTGCTGGGGAGTAATGTGAGTTGGTGGGAGAGGGCCAGCATTTTTTCCATATCTGTGCTTTCTAATAAACTGCTTCACAAATTAACTTTGGAAAGATGCCTGTCACGAGGCCAAAGTGTTTTTCTTCACAACAAATTTTATGCAGTTTTCCTTAAAAGCTCTGGTGCATCAGGTTCAGACTAAAAGGCAGCAGGAATGAGACAAGTTCTAACCTCTGCTATTGAGTACTAGTGACATTCTAGAACATATCAGCACTGAGCCACTGAGGTCATTCAGCCTTGCTTAATCTCCAACACTGCCGTTTCTCATTTGTCTTAATTCTCTGAAGGTGAACACATTTAGAAGATGAGGATCTGTGTAGAGATGTTTTACCTTCGGAGACATGTCAGCCTTTGAAAAATTAATCAACTGCTTCTGACACTTGTGGAGGGGGAAAAAAAAAAACACAAGTCAGTCAAAGCCATGGTCGAGGATGTCTGAGTTGGGAGGAAGGTAAGTTTTCTTTAGGCTTTTCCCCTCTTCGGGACATTGAAGGTGTAGGAACGCAAGTGGGCACAAGAGGCTTGGGTGCAATCCAACGACAGTAACAATGTTGAGTTGGTCTGCTCCCTAGGGAACTTGAAAATGGCAACATTACTGGAGGTAAAACAATCTCCACAGGTTTTAGTACAACCATTTTATCTTCAGGTCGAGGTCTTACGAAGTTTGTCTGCCGCTCACAAGGTCTGTAGGGAGACGTGTTCTTCATGAATGTGGGCACTAAAGGATTGGTGGCAGGTTTGATGGGCTTTTTCATCTGTGAGGAAGTACCCACTAGAGTTGTGTTTTTCTGTGGAAGGGGTATTTTTGTTGTCTCTGATCGGTTAGCATTTGCTTTAGTTTCTCGATTTAGGAACTCAGCAATTTTCATTTGGACACCGTTATAATCATTAGTGGAAGCTCTGGGCAATGATGTTTTTGATTTTTTCTTCTTCTTCTCCCGTTTTGATGATTTACCCAACTCAATCCCATCCAGAAGACCCTTGGCTGCAGCTCGGGCCAAAACATCTTTCACAGACACTGTCTCCGATGGGTCCCGCTACAATTAAAGAAGCAGTTACTCAATATGGGAGTACTATGTAGATTATATGTATTTATCAATGTGTCATAAAAACAAGAGTATATTATACCAAAAGAAGTGGTTTTTATAACTTGAAACCAAACCTACTGCCATTTAGTCAATTCTGACTCATAGTGGCCCCCACTGGGTGTCCAAGGCTATAAATATTTATGGAAGTAGATTGCCTCATCTTCCTCCCACGGAGCAGCTGGTGGGTTTGAACCACCAACCTTCTGGTTAGCAGTCAAATGCCTTGTGCACTGTGTAACCAGCGCTCTTAGTCCCTAATATATCTCATATACCTCAGCAAATGACGTTCTTCTATATTTAAACTTCCCCATCTGTAAACCTCACACGTAAAAAAAAAAAAAAAAAAAAAACTTACTTCCTAACGTATGAGGTAAAATGCCCTAGATGTTAACAAAATGCTTGAAGAGGTGGGGGAAGAAGACAAGCAGTGGAGGAACTTCCAGAAGAAATACAAAAACAGATTATGTGCCAAGCAATAATTAATATTTTTCCTATCTTTACCTCTTTATGAAATAAGATGTCTACAAAGTTTCTGAGTTTCTTTTGAGGCTTTGTTTCTTAATTCCAAGTATTATATGGATTGAGATTTTTTTTTCTCCTTACCTCCCTTGTTAGAATAGAAAGAAAACAACCATTGGTAGTATCAGATGGTTCCATTCTGAAAAATTTATCAGTAGACAAATGTATTTCCTTTAAGGAGCAGAGTGGAAGAACAGGAGGGCTAAGCCTACAGTAGATAGGATCAAACAGTCCATAGTTAGAATGGCTCAGTTGCCAATGGAGAGAAAGTAAGCAGCTTATATTTTCATCTTTACGGTTTACCAATCATTGAAACAAAAATTCCAAGTAAAATGCTGAACACTATTATAAATTAAAAGCTGTAATGATTCTCATTTATGCATAATTTGTTGTACTTTCCAGATTCTCCATTTTTAAACAACTCTACCATGTATAACAGACTTTTTCAACAAATTAAAACCATCCCTCTCCCAAGTAACATGTTAACAAGAGGCTTCGATTATCAAAACAGTAAATATATATAGAAATCATAAAGGTATAATCACAAAATTCCTATACTTTTACACATTGTCAAAATATAAAATATAATGGCCTTTTGGTTTATTTTTTGCACAATTATAATAAGAAAATACAGCCTATCATTTTCACTACATTATTCTTCCCAATCGTTTTTTGAGTATTAATTATGAGTTACATATTGTTTGAGGATGTACATAAAAGACTGTCAGAAATAAAAAAATCTTTATTAATATGCTTAAAATATAGTTTTTATATTTAACATATGATTTTTCATTGAATAAGGTGGTTCATGAATAATTCTAATTCTTACATTTCCATGCATTATCTGAAAAACAAAACATGCACTGGCAAGGATGTGGAGAAAGTCGAACCTTCATCCACTGCTGTGGGAATGTAAGATGGCACAGCTGGTGTGGGAAATGATTCGACGGTTCTTCAAAAAGTTAAACAATTACCACATAACCCAGTAATTCCACTCCTAGTTATCTACCCAAAAGATGTGAAAGCAGGAGTGCAAAGAGATAGTGCACACCAGTGTTCACTGCAGCATTATTCATCATAGCCAAAAGGTGGAAACAACCTAAGCACCCATCAACACAGGTACAGATAAAATGCCATATATCCATACAATGTAGTAGTATTTAGCCATAAAGACAAATGAAGTCCTACTACATGCTAGAACATGGATAAACCTTGGAAACATCCTGAGTGAAGTAAGACCAAAAAGGACAAATATATGATACCACCTACATGAAATACGAAGACTAAAGAAATGCATACGGAACAATGTTTATTAGTGGTTACCAGGGATGCTGGGGGAAAGGGAGTGCTTGCTTAAGGAACACTGAGTTTCTCTGTTAAGGCTGATGGAAAATTTGCAAACAGTTAATGGTGATAGTTGTGCAACATGGTGAACCTAATGTCACTAAATTTTACACATGAACATCATTGAGATGGCAAATGATTTGTTACATATTTCACCTCAATTAAAAAAAAAAAAAATCACTCCAGAAAATGCCTTGAGTTTAGACCTAGTCTTCTGTGTTTGTACTATCATAGACATTACCTGACTTACTCATGGTAATGAAGTTTGGCTATGTTTTGCAGTTTTAAAAAAAAAA